TCAACAAATTATTTTCCATTTAAATGCCATTTTTGTAGGCTATAAATGCAACAAGCTGCCTACAACTTACAAATGAACATTTTTCTTTTTAATGGTAGGGGATAACAATATAAAAACAAGTAAGAGAGGGGTAGAGGGAGATGGGGAAGGAGAAGGAGACTATTCCGATTATAGATCTTTCAAATTTTCCTAGAGAATATGTGAAAATGAGGGAAGCATGTGAGGCGGTGGGATATTTCAGGGTGGTGAACCACGGCATCCCTCTAGACCTGTTGGGTGACATGAAGAGAGTCGTGAGATCTCTGTTGGACCTTCCAATGGAAACCAAGCGGCGGAACACCGACGTCATCACCGGCAGCGGCTACGTGGCCCCCAGCCAAGTCAACCCTCTTTACGAAGCTTTAGGCCTCTATGACATGGCTTCATCCCAAGCTGTGGAAACTTTCTGTTCTCAATTGGATGCCTCCCCTGACCAAAGGTACCTTCTTCTGTTCTCGAGTTCTTGAGCCAGCTTTTGTGCGCCTTGTTTATAGTACATTTGATTAGGGTAAGTTCTATGTTGATTGCCTTAATTCTTCATTTTGTATGAAAACAGGGAGGTCATTGAAAAGTATGCTAAAGCAATTTATGAACTGGCCTTGGAATTGGGGGGGAAGTTGGCTGAAAGCTTGGGATTGGTGAGGGATTTCTGCAGAGATTGGCCATGCCAGTTTCGGATAAACAAGTACAACTTCACCCCAGAAACGGTTGGCTCAACCGGAGTGCAAATCCACACTGATTCCGGTTTCCTGACCATTCTTCAGGAGGATGAAAACATTGGTGGTCTGGAGGTGATGGACAAGTATTCTGGTACCTTTATACCCGTCGATCCCTTGCCGGGCACCCTTCTAGTCAATCTCGGAGACATGGCTGCAGTGAGAAAGACTTCCAATCATCTTATTTCACCTTCAGGGGGATTGTGTAGAGTATCCTGATTAATTTTCTTATGATGATTCTGTAATGTACAGGCTTGGAGCAACGGAAGGCTCTGCAATGTTAGGCACAGAGTACAGTGCAAAGAAGCAGCCATTCGGGTGTCAATTGCGACGTTCCTGTTAGGACCGAAAGAGGAAACTGTGGAAGCGCCGGAAGAGCTGGTGGATGCAGAGCATCCCCGCCTTTATGTTCCTTTTACCTATGAGGAGTACAGGAAACTCCGGCTGTCCACAAAATTGCGGGCTGGAGAAGCCCTTGAACTTGTACGCATCAATTGTTGAATCCTGAACCTGAAAATGAAATGGACAATGACATGCTTAGGCTGGAGGAGTACTACAAAGGATTCCCTTTTGATGAATAAACAGGATTATTCTAGAAATAATATATTGGAAGATTTCTGCAGCATTTTTCTCTTACTTAAACCCACTTAAATACCTAAATTAAGCTTAGATTAGTACATCTTCCTATATACAGTTTCATTTGGGCACTTGAAGTTCTCTTCATTTAGATGCCCGACATCTAGAGTGGTGTCAGCGCTGTTTATCATGCTGTTGGTGGTGATACTTACGCTTCCTGGTTCGGGCATGGAAGGCCACGCGAAAGGAGGCTTGAAGGGCGGAACAGGGGGCACTACCATTGATCCGTTTAAGATCTGAAGAATCACTGCCGTCTTGGGCGGTTCCCTGGCGATGGGGTGGGAACACGCTAGACCCAGTTGCAACAGCCGCTCAGCTTCCTCCACCACCTAATCATTCTCCAGCCTCTTATTCACTGCCTCGAGAATCCGCCCTTCTCGGTGAAGGGACCATACCCAGTCAACCAACCGCTGGAATTCCCCCACTTTCGTATAGGGTCGTTGACCGCACACCACCTCCAGCAACACCTCGATAAAGCCGTACACGTCGGACTCGCAGGTGGCCTTACCGGTATGGAAGCACTCAGGGGCAATGTACCCGACGGTCCCGGGAACTCCCTTCAATTCGGCATAGGAGGTTTCTCGTTATCCAGGACGCGGGCTAGGCCGAAGTCGCCCGAGACGTGCGTTGACATTGGAGTCGAGCATGATGTTGCTGGCCTTGAGGTCGCGGTGGATCACCCGTTGGTCGCACTCGTTGTGGAGGTAGTGGGGGGGCGGAGGCGACTACCAATATGATCTTGCTCCTCAACTTCCAGTCCAGCGTCGTCTTCTCCGGTGAGCAGAATATGTGACCGTCCAAGCTTCCGTTGGACATGTACTCATAGATCAGTAGTAACATTGTGTTCTTGTGACACCAACCTGATTAATTTATTATGAAACAAAAATTAAATAGATTAAATGCATATATCAAATAGTTTAATAAATTCGTGATTTATAGCATCTTTTATAAAACATTTTAAAACTAGAAGTCTATTTGCACTTCGCCTTTTTTTCGAGTTTACTAGTGTCAAATCACGTATAAATGTTGTGATATGAATATATTTTTTTAATAATAATATAAATCTAGTTTTGTGTGAATTTATTAAAAAAATTAAAAATTTATTTAACTTTAGTTCAGAAAGAAAAAAAAGAAGAAAAAAACTAGAAGTCTAGAATAATAAACTTCATGTAGCGTTTCAATGAGTTGCGTATTTTATTGAAGAAGATGAGATATTTATTAGATTTGGGTATCGAAATTTTTAATTCCTAATATCTAAAAAAATTAATTTATTAATTATTATTCTTATAAAAAAATTAATATATTTAAAAAATAAAAATTC